GAAAGAACAAGGCTTAATTCAGGAAATATCTGCAGGTGATAGCCAGGATGATGCATTCCCATCTACCCAAGATCATGTGACTGAAATTTTGCTGACCCAAAATTCGAATCAGGTCAGCGAAAATCATGTAAGTGATATAACTATACTTTCTGTATCAAGAAGTAAAACTTTACTAAATTTGGCCACCTTATATCGGAAAGCTTGTGATGCAGAAAAACAAGCAATAAAGGCCAATCAAAATGAAATTTTATGCTGGTACTATTACATTATTGAGTTCGATAATCAAGTTAAAACCATTATAAAAAATGAGCAGGTTGGTGAGAAAAAAGCGAAAGGACAAATTTATAATTTTATTATTGCACAGCTTGATACTAAACGTAATACATTACATAAGCAAACACAAAGAGCTAGAAAAATTTACGGGTTATTCGAAAAAATAGGTTTAGATAAAGTAAAATATATTAAATCATATAGTGCAAATGCTATTTCGAAATTTACTAATTCTCAGATTCAAACGATTATAGATCACTTTACCAAAAAGCCTGATATAGAATATACCGATGAACAGAACAATTCTTCAGATGATCAAGATTCGGAATTACCAGAAGCTTCGGTAAATGCATCTACTGGAACCGAGGTAAGTGAAATAAGTGATACAAATGCCAATGATAACAAACCACAATCTTTAATTACTGCTTTATCTGACGATGAGCTAGAAAATTTCTCCGATGACGATGAATTCACCAATGATAACGAAGAAGATGGGAGTTTCTGTAGTTTTTCTGATGACGATGATGAAGGTTATTATTATGATTTAAATACCAGCGAAACTTATACAAAATCGAACCGTTCAATCTATGCCTATTAGATACAGAATTCCTTGCTTTGCAGACAATAGACATTTATAAACGATGCATTTATACCGATGTATCCGGCATCTGTGTGCCTATATATTTTATTGTTACAATAAAGCAAATTTTTTTTATTGCACATCGCATCGACGTTTTTGATTCAAATTCGCCATATCTGACACATAAAATCTATTTCGGGTATATTATTGCGGAGCAATGAGGTTTCACCTCTACAAGTATATGATTTAATTTTCCGGTAATAGATGTACTATACCATCACACCATCGACCAACAAGATATCAACCATAGTAAACAGCGTAACTTTTTTATTAATGAAGATTTTGATATCGATATCATTATGCATAGATCGTGATATGATATCACAACATCACGTGATCATAAATAAGCTGAATATTACGAAAGTGAAGGTTTGGCTAAAACATAATCTATATCATCCTGGGAAATACTGGATAAGGTTACTGCTGTAAAGCTCTGAATCCGCTTGATCCCAACTCACTGAACAAATCATAAATCTGAGCCAAGAAAAAAATCACGTGCGCGTTCCGTTTCGGAACGCCGATCACTATGTAAGGGTATTTGAGTGAACGAGCTTTACATTATTTATTATTCAGATGTATACCATGAATTAAAAAATAAATTGTGTATTGCAAGATTTGCCTCAAGGTTAAATAAAGCACAACATATATCAAAGTCCAAACACATAATAAAATAATGTATATCACGTTTGATTGTCAATTCGTATGAATTGTATTGCAATATTTTTTTGGATAAACAGCTTTTATTTGTTAATCTGCATTAATACTAAGAATAAATATATGTGATGATAATTAGTTAATGGTAGTGTGAATATTAAATCAGCTAGTGTCTACAGAAAATCTATTCTATCATCTGCTAACTTAAATATACAGACTCACTTAAACAATTCATCGGGAATCTTTAATACATGACGAACTGTTGTTCCTTTAGATCGAAGTACAGATCGTTCAATCTCGCCCATTAGTTCTTCTTGTTTTGTTATCTCATCCTAAGGAAAAGATACCACTATCAAATGAGTATTTTTTTTTGAAAAATAAAATATATGAACATAAATCATCAGATACATACATGAAAGATAGCCATCATTCTGAGAAGAGCTTTATATTGATTTCGACCATTGAAGCTGAAAGGGATTAAAGCTGTAGCAAGTTCCGTAGAAAGAAATCTTCCATCCGGGAGCATATTCAATGCATAGAGAGTCATTCGTGTACCTGAAGAAACAGGAAACATGAATATCAAAAAAAAAAAAACAATTATACTATTACTTACCGATCACCTGAGTACAGAACACTTTGATTTTAGTGGCGAGTTTTATGTCACAATCAAAGTGATTTCGTAAAATTCCAATTAAATTCAAAACATCCATTCGCATAGTTTTTTTCGTATCACCAAGGGTATGTAAGTCTGTTGTTTTGCACGGTCCACCGGCCACTTCCATATGCCAAACTTCTTGTCCATCTGAATACCGAGTTGCCTTTGAACCTACTTTAACTATGCCTGAATTTGTTGCGGATTTTGTTATTTTTGCCGAAGATGCATGGCTTTCAATCCAATCGAAGTTAAGATTCAAAAACGTCCTCTCATAAAATTTTAAAATCGATGAGATTTGATATGTAATAAATTTCCGTTCGCCTATATTTCGGTCCATTGTAGAGTTTACATCAACAAGATTATAACTAAAAAAGAATCAGTGGTCAATATTTATTTTGATTAACAACATCAGATACTAACATCTACCTACAAATCAAGAAGAACTTTTTCGCAATATAACCGAAATGGTTCATTCAGAACTTCAACCTGAATTGCAGTTTTGAATTTTTTTCCAGTTTCTTTAAGAGAAGTATCAACGTATTTTTCCAGAGCATCCGACCACACAGCAGGATTGATGTCACGAATAGATGATAGCTCAATGGCAAGCTCCTCGCCGATTTCTAAGGTCAACTCCGAAACAGATTTATCAAAAGCACATATAACAGAGATATCTTCGGAATATCTGGAGGAATTTGCGAGTTAAGAGACTATTAGAATTTCTCCATTTGTTAAGTGATACACAGCGAGTAGGAAATGGGAGACTTACCGCTGAATTTCCTCTTTATTCCGCGGTCGCTTATTCGGAGTTGTTTTCAATGGAGTTAAAACCCGAGGAGCTTGCGGTGGGGTTCTAGGTTGTGGAGATTCCGTCGATTGCGAATGAGCAGTACTATTTACTCTCCTCATCTTCCTCTCTTCGTCTGAATTATCTTCAGCGTAGTTAACGCGTTTCATTGGTCGAGGCGATCTGCGGACTGAAGGTTCTCCCTGCAACATATTCGCAATTAAAAAAATTTTGTAGCTTATAACTGATCGTGATTAAGACCTATCTTTTCTTTACCAACGTTTACCGATTCTTCAGCCCACTTATCAACTTCCGCGTTGGTAACTTTAGCGATACCTCCTTGATATTTCGTGACGCACTTTTGCTTATAAAGAGAAAACAGTGATTGTAATGAGCTCATTTTCTATAGTAAAAAAAATAAGAATCCAACAAATATGCACTCACAAACTGAACTTCGCGACCGGTCTTTTGTTTGTTGATCGTTTCTACATTTTTATAGAATCTAATGCGTTGTTTTTTCCACGTCTCAAAATGAAAAGATAACATTAGTTATAAGACTTACACGAATTAGCTCGAAACGATTGGGGAGGAGTGGTTTAGGTCCAAGCAACCGCAGTCCCCAGACTTCCAAACTTGAGCGACCGCAGTCCCCAAGTTTGCCACCGATCAGGGTCATATGAGCGACCGCAGTCCTCATACGCCAGAAGTAAGCGACACGCAGTCCCTACTTCCTTTCAGATACTTAAGTCCTCTCCTAAACGAGAGGCTCTATCCTCCGATTCATAATATATAAAATAGTTTACTTACAACCCAAGTGTCTCTAATGTCCTTCAGAACACGCGTCGTATCTTCTTTAAAGAAATTTGATTCGAGTACTTCCTCCAAATCTTGGATTATCACTTGATATACTTGCGAAAGTTGGTTATTTGGCATTTCCTGCTGATAGTAGTCGAATATATTATCAGCAGTTATAGAATTAATCGCAGATACGACATCGGGCTGAGTGAGAAATCGGAAAAGTGGTCTTCTGGAGAAATGTTCCACTGAAAACGAAGAATTAGTAAAGTTGCGATGGATCAGACGAAAGACTTGTTCTACATACTTTTTTTATCGATGCAAGTAGAAAAAGAACAATTCGCGTAGAAGAAATTCGTGTAGACAAAGTAACAAAAAATGTGTGGGCATGTGACTACCGATGTTGTAGCAGGGGAGTACAGGTAGGAACGTCCCAAATTAGGATATGATGATCCCGATCATGCATATTAGATTTAGCCGTAAATATTAATCATATGATAAATATCACGTGTTGATTAACCAATAAAATTGTAAACTTTATAAAATGAAAAAAAACGAAATCTAATTAAAATTTATAGTTAAAGTCTAAAATAAATGCCGTTAAATGTTATCGTTTAAATAAGTAAGCATATATTTATTAATTTAAATCAAGATTATTATTATTTAAAAGTATTTATTTTTATTTATTTACTAAAACCTCAATAATCTATGTATATTTAATTTCACGTCTAATTCTATCTCTAATTCTACGTCTAATTCTATATTTACTCAAATTTCTAATATTTTACACTATACCAAATTACATTACACAACTATGATTCTAATAAGAGACTGTTGCGACGTTAATACATATCGAATATATAACCTTTTATCGTATCTTAAAAGCTCCTATAATAATAAAATCAATAAACGGTATAGTTAATTAATATTATTCGAATACTTTCAATTTCCCTAAATGATTTTTATGCAATACGTATAATAAAAAAAATATATAAAAACTAATTTTTTTCCTTCTATACTATTATCCTTAATCGTTATTTTGAGTTTTTTTTTACCTTTTTTTGCGAAACAAGTAAAATTTCGTCATTCGTTAGATCTAAAAACCTACCAGAAAAAAAAGCTACATGATTAGTAATTACGTTACCCTAACACAATCTAGATCCCACCATGTAAAGCAAGTCTATTCGGTCACAAGTCCCAAATGCTGAATCTATTTGGCCATTTTTTTAGTTGAAATTTGACCCCTTAGATTTTGCCGATCGCTCAGAGTAGGCTAGATCTCGGAGATGGCGGAGATTCGAAGTCCTTGTAACATATAAATTTCGGTAAAACTACTGATTAAGAACGTTGTACTCTTTACCCTTATAGCCTTTTTAAATCCCATTCTTATCGCGGGATCATATACGTATAATAAGAAAAGTAAAATGGTTAAAAAATCGACGTTGGGAAAGCAATTATGCATTAAGGTAACACCGCATAAAATTTAATGCAGGCCATTGATTATTAATGCCGGTCAAGGTTTTATCACTTGATAAACCTGAATATCAAGTGACGTGAACGTCGCCGTTATCATAAAAATATTACTCCGACGGCCTCTGGAAGCCGTCGGGGATACGGAATTTATGCGATAAGAATTGGTAAATTATGCATGCGGACCCGTGGGACCGTTAAGTCATCTAACAGCTGTGAAAT